TAGACGTGCTCCATATTCTGATCCAGCCATGGTTTTATCTACTAAAATGATAAATTTTATAATTTTATTCTACACGTTCTATTTGCAATCAGTCCTATCTGAAATTCAGCTGAGGAGTAAGACATTTTCAGTTTATTTAAATCTCCTTCTAAAATCCCAATTCCTTCCACTTGCCCAACAATATTTTAAGTTGCCATTTTTGTCTTATTAATTTAAAAACACAATTTTCATTTATTGTTAAAGTATGTTGCAATATGAATTTGTTAGAAATACTATTTCTGTGAAACCTTCTTACAATTTTCTCATATTATGCTGTCAGATATTCCAGTTTCTCATTTTCCCAAATTATGGCATTAACTCTTCTCTCATCATCCTGCTCTCAAGCTTATTAAATGAATTGCCATCTCTCCTGCAAGCAGCTTACCACAAATACATTATTGCCAGTGCTGTGAATTCTTTTATGCAAAGAACTCCACATAAGAAAAACGTTTTCATGGTAGAAGTGTTGCTTTAGGAATTATTTTTTATAGACTATATGCCATATTTTTCGGATTATAAAACACACCTTTTTTCCTCAAAAAAGAGGCTGAAAATCTGGGTGCGTCTTATACATCAAATACAGCATTTTTGTCTCCCGAAGCCCCGCCCCTTCAACAAAATGGCTGCACGTACCCTTATGGAGGCTTTCAGAGAACTCTTGGGAGCTGGGGAGGGCAGAAATAAGCAAGAAATTGGCCATTTTTTGCCCCAGCCCCCAGCAGCACTCTATAAGCTATGCATGCAATTGTTTTGCCAAAAAACGGGCCCGTTTTCACGAAAAATGGGCTGTTTTTTGCTCGCTTTTGGTCCACCCCCCCAGGAGCACTCTGCAAGCCCCTCCCCCAAAGAATATTCATGCCTTTTTTTGAAGAAAAGGGCCCATTTTTGTGAAAAACGGGCCGTTTTTGGGAGGTTTGCAGAGTGTAAAAACTTTTCCTTTTCCTTTTGGAAAGCTCTTTAACTGATAGATGAAAATTACATTGATCAAGTGCTGTGCCAGCAGAAGCACCTACCTATCTACTGTATTTCTCTCTCTCTCTCTCTCTCTCTCTCTCACCCTCTACCTATCTATCTACACACACACACTCTCTCCCTACCTACCTATTGTATTTCTCTCTCCCTTTATCTACCTAACTACTCACTCTCTCCCTACCTATCTACTGTATTTCTCTCTCTATCCCTCTACCTACCAACCTACCTACTCTCTCTCTCCCTACCTATCTACTGTATTTCTCTCTTTATCTCTTTCTATTTCTCTCTCTCTCTCTCTACCTACCTTCTCTGTCTGTGTCTGTCTCTCTCTCTCCCTTTATCTACCTACCTACCTGTTCTGACCCCCTCCTCCGTCCAGTAACGAATGCTGAGACAAGCTTAACTGGAATTTCACAGCATTTTATTAGCAAGAAACCAAAACTTCGGTGGCTGAAAGCCAAGCCTAACAAACATGGCAGCAACTCAGACTTCGACAGATAACAGCTTCTCCAGCGTTAGGAATGACGTTGAATCCTGCAAAACCAGGCTCCTCCCAGTCTCTCTTTAAATACAATCTTGAGAGGAGCCTAATTACAATCACCTGGGTCCAATTATCTTTTGTAACTGTGTAGCTGCTCTACGTCGATCTGTCCAGTGTTGCCGGGCATCCAGGACCACCTCCCTTGTCTCCTCATCACTACTCCAAGGCATGACATCAGGAGCACACTCTCTTCGGCTCTCACCACTGCTCCATGCCTCAGGAGATTCCTGGTGGTCAACCAGCCTCTCTGTGCCCTGCTCGGAGTCGGAACCCTGTCCAGGGTCCTCCACCTCTTATAGAGCCGACTCATAAGGCCCCTCGCTGGCAGAGTCTGTTTGCAGCTCCAATGGCTCCTGCTGGGCCACCTACCTAACTACTCTCTCTCTACATACCTACTGTATTTCTCTCTCTTTCTCTCCCTGTCTATCCCTCTACCTACCTACTTTTTTTAAAAAATTGCCTCTTCAAAACCTTGGTGCGTCTTATACTCTGGTGCATCTTATACTCCAAAAAATATGGTAGTTTTATTACAAATTTATTGTCAATCTTAATTCAACATATTTATTTGGTTTATTTGAATTAATTTGGTTGTGATCATTGTATTTCACAAACAATTTGCATTGGTTAATATATTACTAATATTTAGAAAGAATATATAGACTTTAAAACCAATGGATTGCATAGCAATATCTGGTTGGCTCCTCAGAAAAAGGTACCATTACACTGAAGTTTGCAAGATATTCATTGAAAAACAGTGTCTTCCAAATTAAAAGTCTAATTATTACAGTGATTAACAACTTTTTTATTGCCAGATTTGATGAATTCAATGCTTCTTTATCATCCTTTTGTATTTGGAGCAGTTGGCACAGTTATTCAGCTTCTATTTAATATTACACTTATATTTGGAATGGCATATTTTATTAGCCATATCACACAAATGCAAATCCTTTACTCCACTGAATTTTTGTAATTTATGTTCCTGACATCAAGAAGTTGATAAGCACTGGAAATAATTTATTTTCACTTTGAAAGAGATCTAACATGCTGGGCTGCTAAGCACTATCTTTTGTTTTACTGTACAATCAGGCTATGAAACTCCTTTGAAAGGGGATCAAAATTCCTCTTCAAATTATTAAAACCAGTTCACCAGAAACTGCTCCTGCCCAATATAGCCTGGTGTAACTATTTTACTTCGCAAACTGGCAAGCATATGTGAATAAAGCTTGGTTGGGAGTAGCTTTCAAAGCAGCCATGCAAACCGGACGGTTCACCGACAAAAGGGCGAACGACAAAACCACGCCCGACTAAACTGCGTCGCTGACATCATCAGCAGGGCGACAACAGCGCGGAGACAGAAGCACGCTGTAAACCCTAAACCTAAACTTAACCCCTAAACCTAAACCTAACCCTAAACCTAACCCTTAACCTAACCCTAAACCTAATCCTAACCCTTAACCTAACCCTAACCCTTAACCTAACCCTAAACCTAACCCTAAACCTAACCCTTAACCTAACCCTAAACCTAATCCTAACCCTTAACCTAACCCTAACCCTTAACCTAACCCTAAACCTAACCCTAAACCTAACCCTTACCTTAAGTTGAATCGGCTTTCTTTCAATGCGCTATTTAAAGCGCCCTTCTTTCTCCGCGCTGGCTGTTGTCGCTGCGTTGATGACGTCAGCGACGCGGTTTAGTCAGGCGCGGTTTTGTCGTTCGCCCTTTCGACAGGTCACGAAACCGGACAAAAGCTGTGGTCACATATGATTCAAAGTCCTTTGAATGCAGTGCAGTACGTTGCCAGCTTCTATTTCTGAAGAATTTGCATAGGCTTTGCTGTCAGGACAGTTTATTATATGGTCAATATTGTTTCAGTTATTTATGTAATCCCATTACCAATATGAATCATTAGAAAAAAATTGACGTATTTTAATCCAGATGTTTGTACATGTGAAGTAAAGGAGGATTTCTTTCTCTCATGTTGTATATTTTTCCTCATCAGACTACCTTTATAAAGCTGAAGATTTCTGATTTTGCACAGTTAGTGTTAATATAATGGATTAAGGAAACTCCTCATTTTGAGTTACCCGTTGGCTATCTGGTTGGACCTTTAAAATGTTTTTTATTTGGGAGGAGGAGATTCAAGAGAAGAGAATATCAGGAGTTTCTTTGCTATTTATTAGCGTCTTGGAAGAATACAAACTACAGTAGTAAGGCTGACATGGAATATTTATCATATAAGCAATGATTTTTCCCACCCCATCCCCTTATCTTAATTTCTGCTCAGTGAGGCACACATCATTAGGAAGTATTTTTGCATTTTTTTCCAGCTGTCTATATTTTTGTTTGCTTTGAGTGTTTGTGAATCAGTAAACACTGGATTTGAAACACAGATCTCTGCCTTATGCAAGGTGCTGTATCCAACTGTTCTTTGAAAGTACCTACTGTTTTTATTAAAATAAAAATCCTTCTTTCTTGATGACTACCTTGTTGATTTAAAAGGAAAATCTAGAGGCATTTTTTAAGAGGAAGGGAAGGGAGATTTTCTGTTTAGCCAGGACTCTGTTCTAGAAAAGGCGGTGACAGCAGTGTAATTATTTGCCTGAATAGTTTTCATCTGGAAAAGAAGTACACTTAGAACTTAGGTAGTAGAGAGGCTGTGAGGGTAGAATCACAGGGTGGTATGAATGTTGATGAAACACATTTCTTCTCCCAATCCTGCCTCCTTGTCTTTTTGCTATTGGTTTTTAGTGAATTTTATATTAGTTTATAAATCATTTCTCTCAATTTATCAGTAAATAATTTTGCATATTCTAATAAGGCTTGCCTCTGCTTTTTTTTTTTAAAAATGAGGTTTTTTAGTGTTAGAATAAAAGTTAATTAAATGTTAATTTATATACTGATATTTCCAAATGAAAGTAGCTGATCAAAAGGAAGGAAGGGTGATATTTCTAGAATTAATTTGCTACCAAAATATTAACAAAGTAAGATTAGGATGAGAGTAACATGTTTTGTTTCACTGTTATGCTTTGTAGTTTGTAGGTTAGATGATGCAACACTGCCCTCTTGTGTAATGTACCAACTTATATTTTATGCACAGTTACTTTGTTTAAAAAATAACCAATATCTTAATAACTAAATTACTACATTTCTCTGCTCCTTCTAACTACTTATACTTATGGAAATCAGTTTTTGAAAGCTTCGGTACTGTTTTAAGCATTTGGTTACAAAACGTTTAATGTTCAAATAAGTCAGTTACAGATATAATAAACACTATTGCTATCTTTTATTGTCAAAAAAGGTCAATGAACTACACATTTGAGAATCTAATGCATGCTGAATTTTATAACTTACTTAATTATGACTTTCACTTTTCCTAAGATGCACTTATATCTGCTTTGTACTATATGAAATAATTCCCTTTTGCCTGTGTGTGTGTTTTTTTACAAGCATGCCTTTCATATAATGATAGAGGTAAGATGCACCGATTTATTTATAGTCATACATTTGTGGAGTTACAAATTGCCTATAGGAATAACATTTGAAAAATATGTTTATTTGCATCCAAAGTATTTGATTCTTTATTTATTGGATTTTCAGTATAACATGTCAGCATCAAAAAACAATTTGATGGCCTATTATAGCAAACTTTGTGATACTCCATTAGCTTGAGTAGAAAAATCTAATACAGTGCCTAGTATATTCATGTGATACTGGAACTCATATAAACAAATTGGCATAAAAATCTCTTCATAACAGTTATGGGATGTCTGTTAAGATGAAGAATCTGCATATGCAAGAGAAAATATTTTGCATTTTGCTTTGGAAATTTGAATGATAAAGGTTTTTACATCCAATTATTTTTTGTTGTTTCAAAATCAGTTCTCTCTGTCTCAAAATATAATACATTTGTAAGGTTCAGAGAGTTACTTCATGCACAATTAAGGACCTGAAAATATTCTGGGATATTAAATAGCAAATCTGCATGCTGTATTACTCTGTTTTTGAGTGTTTCCTTAAAATCGGAAGTGATAGACATGATAGATTTCCTTTTAGGAACCAGATCTTGAAGACCCACTGCATATGTGGAATTCATCAGGCAGCCTGTTGTATCCGGAGCAGTATTCATTTAATACCCTGTTTCCCTGAAAATAAGATCTCCCCGGATAATAAGCCCAGATTGGGCTTTTGAGCGCATGCACTAAAATAAGCACTTCCCCGAAAATATTGCAATACAGCAGCAACCATGAGGTGACCACGCTCGCTGCCTCCTGCACCTCAAAAATAATAAGATCTTTCTGAAAATAAGGCCAAGCGCTTATTTCGGAGGTCAAAAGAAAATAAAACCCTGTCTTATTTTTGGGGAAACACGGTACTTTTTGTTTTGTTGCTTTGTTAAATACATTTTTTTCTACTACCATTTTACATTACTATTTGGAATGGTGGGACTAAATCGGCATAGGCAGGATTAAGGCTCCTGCCTCATTTAATGATTATTTTAGGTTACAATGTCATGAAAAAGTAACTGCAGGCAATCCTCACATTTTTAACCTTTGCAAATATGTAAAGCAAAGGAAAATTGAAGTTAAAATTTGATGTTTCATATAGCAACCACCTCATTTAATGACTGAGACACCATTGAAACTGGAACAGAAGGCTGTATGTTGCTCCACTAAGTTACCTGGCAGTAGCCACTGAGTGCCACACAAGCCACCCATAAACCTGGCAGGAGCCAGCCCTGCTCTGCCATTCCTGCCAGCCTGCTTGCTAGCTAGCTGCATGAGACTTTCTAAACAACCTAGGATCCTCACTTAACAATGGAAATTCAAGCTCCATTGTTTACCATTGTTAATCAAGGGCTACTTGTATAAGCAATATAGTAATGTGCTTAGGGGAAAAAAGACAAAAGGAGGCAACATTTCAGCCTGATTAGATAGCTTATATAAAAGCGGGAGGGGCGGGGGAAGAAAAGTGGCACTCTTCAGTGAGTGTGAGAAGCAAAATGTAATTTTATCCCTCCCTTGTGATTGAAGACTAATGAAAATATACACTTTTTGTCCCTTTCCTGTGTATAATAAAAATTAATCCTCATAATATTTTAATTATGTTGCATGAAGGATCCACATAGATTAAAAACTGATTCCTTTGTTGTAAAGTTTATTATCATGTGATTATAAAGCTATTTATCACTTCTTTTGATCTGTGCTACCCAATCCACCCATTGTTACACCAAAGCATATGTATAAAATTTCTGGGTAAGAAAGATTTCTCATCCTATTTTCAAGCAAGAAATATAGAAATATGTATCTTTAGAATAATTTATTTGTTACAAAGGGAAGCATATCATGCTGTAATTATACTAAATTAGTTTATCCTAAGTTTATATCATACCCTGATACTTGTAACTTATAACTGAAGCCAGTTCATCATAGTTCACTTCACTCTTGTTCACATTCTATAGATGCTTTAATATTCATCCAAGTAGATGAAGTAATGAGGACCAGGAAATATAATCACACATAAGTACCTTTCAAATCCCAATCAGCATTGCCATAATAGATTACTTTAAACCTTTCTTGTAATGCTTACAATAAATAAATGCTAATAAAGTTAAGTAGTTCCTAACTAGAAAAACTGATTTCCCCATCTTTCATATGATATTGGGTCAATAGCTGGGTTGGTAAAGTAGGAATGGATCCTCAGGAATTCTGTATGTGCGCCTATACCACAGGCTGCATGAAGCGTATAGATTTCCTATGCAAGAATTATAATTCTATTAAAAATAGAGTATTTAATAACTTTTTTTTTGCAGTTTCTTCATTTAGGTAAAGTGTTTTTCATAAAAGTTTAGTACATATATGTTGCAAAAACTGTATTCTATTGGCCATATGTAGAGATTTAAGATATTGAGTTAGTTTCAAGACATTTAATTCCTTCCATATTTTGTATGCATGCCTTTGTTTGGGACCATACAATTTAAGTGTTAGATTTATTCATTTCATTTTTTCTGAGAAAAAATTGAAAATTAATTTTAAAAATTGCAAGACATTAACATTTTTTTTGCATTGTGTTTTGTTGATATAATTTGCTTCCTAAACTGTTGTCTTTGACTTGGTGAATGAGATTATACTAAACAAATGAACTTTTGTTGACTGTTACTGTTTTTAGGACCCTGGACCACCACCTCCATCACCATTGATGGGCCTAAAGCCATTGCAGTTACTAGAGATCAAAGCTAGAGGAAGATTTGGCTGTGTCTGGAAAGCTCAGTTGTTAAATGAATACGTTGCTGTGAAAATATTCCCAGTGCAGGTATACGAACAATCAAATATTGTACTATCAAATGTTCCAAATGTTCCAAATGTTTTTAAAAATATTGTTATAACAAGGAAATCAGATGATGACTCAAAATGTCTAAATGTCATAGGATTGCTTAATAAAACATTCCAGTGATTTTGAGACCAAGTAAAATCTGAAACGAAATAAAGAATATCTTTAATGATCCAGAGTCATCCATCCTGATGGGTGAAGAAATAATTCCATTTGTAAATCCATTTGGGATTTAAATACTAATAAAAACCAGGGGGAATCCTCTTTTTATCAAAATAAGTTCAAATCAGATCATTTGTTTACAGTCTCACACCAATAAAGGTAGTCCTCACCAACTATTCTATTTAGCAATTGTTTGAAGTTATGATGGTGCTGAAAAAATAACTTTGTGGCCCATTTACAATTCTTGCAACATCCCTGAGTTTTGTGATTGCCATTACAGCCATTACATTGTCCTGTGCCTGACCTATGATTGAGTTTTCCTCCCTTTCTTTCTCCCCCTGTGGAACAGAGAGGTCCATAATAAAAAAAACTATAATAAGAAATACATAATTATAATCTTTATTTAAACATTGCTATTTCTGTTTATGAATTATGTGCCAGCTATTTACTAGAATCATGAAAAATATTCTAGAATCTTGGGAGAAATAATGAGATAAAGAAAAAGAAAATTTCTGATTTAATTCTGTCTTACTGTCAGATGAACTTAATTGAATTGTTAACCTCACTTTGTTGTCTATATTTATTTGATGAAGCAAATCAAGAAAAATCCTTATCTTTATTCCAGAGAACTTGCTTGCCAAATATTATTAGCTGTTGATCTAAGAGAATTATCTAAACTTGTCTGGCCTCAATTTAATAATCCATTTGACAAGATTTCTAAAGATTTGTGCAGAAATTGCTAGAAGCAAGAGTTCTCTGTTAATGTGAATTTGCCAAACCAAACTAAAACCAAGACGTGTGTATTCTCCTTTTGCGGGGGGGGGGGGCAATCATCCCATGCATTTGGGCACATTTCATAGCAAATCAGATATGATTTTGATTATTTGACATGATTTTGAATATGTAAACAAGACATTTAATATTTTTTAAATATATTAATATGATTCTTTTTGTTCAGGATAAAGAATCATGGCAAAATGAATATGAAATATACAGCTTGCCAGGAATGAAGCATGAAAATATACTGCAGTTCATTGGTGCTGAGAAACGAGGCACTAGTATTGATGTTGACTTGTGGCTAATAACAGCGTTTCATGAAAAGGTGATGACTTTGTTGTGATAGTTCATGTGATAACTATTAGAACTTTTCATTGTGTACAAATATAATATTTTCCAAGGGAAGCAGATTTTGAGGCAGATTTTTACTAGATTTATTTTTAAGATCAATGTTAAATTTTAAAGGGGAAGAATTCAACATAAAGGCAGTGATTTCAGACCATTTTTCATAGTATGGATGGGAGTAATTTGCTTTCCAGAGGTGGTCTTCCATGTCCACCTGTAAAACTTTTTGAGGTGGGGAGGGAGGAAAATCAAGAGACAGAAAAAATTGCCATTGTCTGTTATGATGGCATAATACTAGGTAACCTCCTGTAGTTCCAAACTCCTTAAACATTGTCCTCCCACATGTTTAAAACGATGCCCACTGAATTATTTCTATAATGGTAATGATAATATTACTTTGAATTCTTTTTTAAGTTAGTATCAGTGTGTGAAACCTATCCTTGTATTGTCATTCTTCCCCTCCAAGCTCAGATCACAGGAACATTTCAATAAAATTTAGATATCCCAGGTTCTAGAATAGCAAATGGGATATTCCTAGTTCTAAAATTTTAGTTAAATACGTCATGTAACTTTATTGATGTGATGCAAAGTGAAAAATAATATTTATAAATAAAAATTATTATTTTTTAGGGTTCACTTACTGACTTCCTGAAGGCTAATATAGTTTCATGGAATGAACTCTGTCATATAGCTGAAACTATGGCAAGAGGTTTGGCTTACCTTCATGAAGATATCCCTGGTCTAAAAGAAGGGCATAAACCAGCTATATCCCACAGGTATCCCCCCCAAAACCCTCACCCCCCCTCCTATCTATCTATCTATCTATCTATCTATAATCTGATCTTTACAATAGTTAATTGTAAGAGGTTTAAAAAGTGTTGGATTCTTCCTTGATGAGCCACATTATAATGTATCTCAGTCCAATTGTATGACAAGGAATAGAGAAAGCTAGAATCTAAGGGAAAAGGGCTGTAGCTCTGGTTTTTAATTGCTTTCCCAGGTACAGTAGTCATCCCATGTTCGTGTGGACTCTTTTCCAGTCCTTCAGGGCAGCCTTTTAGGTACTTCCAAGGTAGAAGAGTTGGGAACAGTCTTGTCAAAACCAGAGCTCTGCTATATTGAAGCGTGGATGCAATCCAGTTTGTAGAAGTAAGAATAGCAATATCAGTTAGACTTATATACCGCTTCATAGGGCTTTCAGCCCTCTCTAAGCGGTTTACAGAGTCAGCATATTGCCCCCAACAACAATCCGGGTCCTCATTTTACCCACCTCGGAAGGATGGAAGGCTGAGTCAACTCTGAGCCGGTGAGATTTGAACAACCGAACTGCAGAACTGCAGTCAGCTGAAGTAGCCTGCAGTGCTGCATTTAACCACTGCGCCACCTCACAATAATCAGTGATCAGAATGTAAAATCAATATGTACCACAGTTTTGATTATAAAAACAATGTAGTAGCACATTAGAAAACAATACAGACTTTGACTGACTCCTATTCAGATGTCATTCACATAGGTAGTTGGGACAATGAAGGGTTATAGCACTTATTCTTTATTGTACAATCTTTTCACAATTTTCTGGCCTCTTCTCAATTCTTGTAGTGTGTGAAGCAAAACCGATAACTGACTTTCTATTTGAAATACATCTCTATACTTCTTAGTTTTTGCCCCCCCCCCCTCCACCTTGATTAAAGAAAGTGTTGTAATACTGCAGTAGCATGTACAACACAAGTACATGATTTACTTATTGGTTTATATTTATATATAAAACTTCAATATACCACTTGTTTTATCTATGAGACATACATTGCAGTCCGGGTCCTTTGCTTTCCTGTACATGTGTGGCTTTGGAAAAGAAAATACCCCCCCCCCTTTTTTTTTTGCCAGTCTGTGGAGAGGACATAGACCATTTCCTTTGAAAGTTTGGGTTTTGCAAGGGGTTCCACCACTCTGTTTGTCCTGCAAAAATTATCTGTTACTTTATTCATGTCAGGAAGAGAGTAATCATGGTTCTGCCTAAATGCAGCAGCAACCTCAAAATAACAATAGAGAAATCACTTTTCTACTCATATTTCCTTCTCCACATAGCATTGTAGAGAAGGGTATTTTGCATCCTATTGTTACTTTATAAGAGGCAGCATTAGAGGTTCAAATTACATATCTAATTAGGTAAGTCTTTTTAGTTAGTCTTTTGCATCTTTTCCTCCATTGCCTAAGCGCTCTGGTCGAGTGGTATATCTGTGTGAATGGTAATGGTCATTGTTTTAATTGTAAATTGTACTTTATGCCCAGTTACCAAGCCAAAATTTCTTCATCTCTGCAGCTATAATCAAAGAATAAATTATACTGTCAGTTAACATGTTCAATTATTATTCTGATCACTTTTAAATATGGCAGTTTTCAATTTTGTACTTCATTTTTTTTCAAGGGACATCAAGAGCAAAAATGTGTTATTGAAAAATAATCTTACGGCATGTATCGCTGATTTTGGACTTGCTTTAAAATTTGAGGCTGGGAAGTCAGCTGGTGATACCCATGGTCAAGTAAGTTTAAATGAAAATAAATATTAAGATGGCTAGTAGCAGATCATAATCTCATAGGTACAGTTTATAACATGGTGTTATAAACATTTTACATTACAAAAGAGTAGGACAAGACGACAAATTATTACTGAGTATGAAACTGTCATGTCTTAGAGTTTGTGCTTTGTATTTACTTTGCAATGTGACTCCTGTAGGCTGTGAATGCAAACTTTGATCATTGAAAGCACATCTCCATGTTAAATTTGAGATGTTGCTAATAATTCTCACTCTCTTTAGTTCCTTGGCCATTTCAAAATAATGAAAGCTATTGAAACTATTTATATCAAGAGATTTTTAATGCTTTTTTTAATAGGTAATGTTTCAAAGGCTACCTACTTCTTTAAGAAATATTGTTCAGTGTATTTTTTGTTTTGTTAGCAAGCTATTCCAAAACAAGTTATAGGACTCCAAATTCTAAGTACCAAGTGATTTTGACATTGTTACTTATTATTTCTCTAGAATGTATGGTGAGATCTAATTAGTTTGAATTTGCATGTTTGTAAGCCTAATGATTATTCTTATTTTCAAGGTTGGTACCCGAAGATACATGGCTCCTGAAGTATTAGAAGGTGCTATAAACTTCCAGCGAGATGCATTTTTGAGAATAGACATGTATGCAATGGGATTAGTACTGTGGGAATTGGCATCACGATGTACAGCATCAGATGGTAAGTAGTTGACACTGAGAGTATAAGACCTTTAGGGGCCACTATGTAGGACAGATAGGTAGAAGAGTAGTTGATCACATCCAAGAACATGAACTAGCAGTCAGAAGGCTCAATGAAATCTCTTTAATTTCACAACATAGAGACATACTCAACCACAGTTTCAACTGGGAAACTGTTAGCATCTTAGCTCAGCTGCACCAATAGACACATAGAGAGAAACAATACCAAAAGAAACAATAAAAAAAATCTAAGAAGGAAATTAGTTCACTGCATGCTGCTTTGCTAGCTCTCCATACAGTGTGTCCTCACTGCAGACTTCCTCCATAATATCCCTTACCAGAACTATGCTGGGTAATTATATATGCACAGCCTCACATGTTCATTCAACTTCATAGATAGTATTTTATACCCAGAGAAATGCAACTTTTGGAAGATGAGTTGTCCCTGATCACTTGCAATGATCACAATATCCTTTAAGTAAAAAGCTTCCTGGGAATTTACGTGAATCACAGAAAACATGATTCCTTATTTTACTGTAATTGCAGCTACACAAGTAATCTGTTAATTCATCCAACCAGTCTCCTCATTGTTCTTACCCTTGGGTGGCCTTATCAGTTCCTTTAGATCTCATGTAGTAGTCCTAGGAACTTTAACGGTTCAGGAGCCAGACCTAATAGCCAGATGATATATATGAGACAAGTGTCAAATATTTAGTTTTGAATTTTTTTGGAAAAATTCACAGATGTGAAAAATGAGTTCACAGATGGCTATTTCAAGAATTATAATTACAATTGAGTTCATTCTTCTAATACTTTGAATAACTCACTGTGCTGAATATTTGTGCTACTTTTATCAGAGTTCATCATACTTTCAAAAACAATTGTATGTAGATCTGTTATTGAACAACCATTGAAGATTGATTTGGGACTTGGAAACTATGCTTTAGAAGCCTAGATCTGACTTACAGGGGGAAAAATAAAATATACTGGATGTGTCCCATTATCTGACCCTTGAGCAATATAATGAATTTGGACAGTCATAAACCAGCTACCAGATTTCATTCTAGTCTCTTAACCTGATCAGCATAAAACTAGTGGTTAACAGAATTTATGTAATGTATTATTATCATCATCATCATCATTTTCCTACAATGCAGGACCCGTGGATGAGTATATGTTACCTTTTGAGGAAGAAGTGGGTCAGCATCCTTCTCTGGAAGATATGCAGGAGGTTGTGGTACATAAAAAGAAGAGGCCTGTTCTGAGAGAGTGTTGGCAGAAACATGCTGTAAGTAACAAATAATGTTGCCAGTTCAGGTAGTCCTTGACTTCAAACAGTTCTTTAGTGACCGTTCAAAGTTACAATGGCAATGAAAAATGTGACTTCTGACCGTTGTTCACACTTATAATCGCTGCAGTAGTCTCATAGTCACATGATGAAAATTCAGATGGCAGCTGACTCATATTTATGACGGTTGCAATGTCCCGTGATCACCTTTTGTGACCTTCTTATAACCAAAGTCAATGGGAAAGCCAGATTCACTTAACAGCCATGTTATTAACTTAACAACTGCAGTGATTCATTTAACAACTGTGGCACAAAAGGTGGTAAAATAAGGCAAAATTCACTTAGCAAATATTTCAGTTAGCAACAAAAGATTTGGGCTGAATTGTGGTTGTAAGTCGAGACCTATCTGTACTGAAACTTTTCTTCAGAAAATAAAAAATTTTAACCTATAAAAATACATTTAAAATCCAATTGAGAAATTGAACTTCAATATCATGCCGTTAAAAATATTATGTTTTTTAAAATATTCATATAATCCAGCAAGTCTATCTGTGCTTCAGTCTTGCATGGGTAGGAAGAATTGGAATTGGGGGAAGCTGCTTCCTTCTATGATATGCCAAACTCTACAAGAAGTATGAAGAGGGGCCTTTTAGGTATACCCCTCCCCTATTTCTCCCAGTGGTTTGTGCTACCTCTCCCCATTAATTCCTGTAGCTTTGCTATCAGTGAAAGGTACTTTGGCAGAATGGGAGGTGATTCAGTCTTTTGGGTCCAAGAATACTTCTGATCCCAAAAGATATTCTTCTTGTATTCTTTGAAACAAGACCTCGAAGAAGCAAAGCTATGGAATTTTCTAGAATGGTGATTCTGTTATCTTAAGGCAGGGGTCTTAAACTGGCGGCTGTGGGCCAGATGCATCACATGCAGGCCATGCCCACCCTAGCTCCGCAAAGGGAAAAAACATCGCGATACGGCAACATGATACCGCAAGTTTGATACCCATGCTTTAAGGTAACCTTTTGAATTATGGGAAGATCTTCCTTTCAGTGCACCTTCATTAAAAGCTGTTCTACAAAAGAGGAAAACTCAACAGCTGAATTCTCTTAAGAGCAGTTGGAATTGCAGAGATCAAAGTACAAAAAAGGTCTAAACGAAGTTCCAAATATTGGAAATAATATTCTCATTTAGATTTTTATTTTACTATTTAGCAAAAAGTTAATAATATTTGCAATCACCAAATGTGAGAGGAGCTGTTTTATATTAATATCAATCCAGTTTAATACACTGTGTTAACATATAGGTTAATATGTTCTAGCATGACACATTTCTATGTACTTCAGTGTTAAGTTTGAACATAGATTTTATAAATAGAAATCAAAATTGTTCTGAAGAAAATTTTGATTCACATTCTCTAGTCTACACCTAGGAAAGAGATCCTAATTTAGCAAAAGCAATATAGCAATAGCACTTAGACTTATATACAGCTTCATAGTGCTTTTACAGCTCTCTCTAAGCGGTTTACAGAGTTAGCATATTGCCTCCAACAATCTGGCTCCTCATTTTACCCACCTTGGAAGGATGAAAAGCTGAGTCAACCCTGAGCCAGTAAGATTTGAACTGCAGCTAGCAGTCAGCTGAAGTAGCCTGCAGTACTGCACTCTAACCGCTGCGCCACCTTGGCTCCTTTAACTTTCATTCCTCCAGTTTAACTTTCATTCCCCCAGTTTAACTTTCATTCCTCCAGTTTCACTTCAGATATCTGCATAACATAATATAATTGATATGCCCTAAATATTACAAGACAGTTGAAAACAGAATTTTTTCATATGTAGTGTGGTTCCAAAATTATATTTTTGCAACCAAATCATTTTTCTAGTCTTTTTTACATTGGGTAGAAATTCAATCGTTCAGGATAGACTAAGATAAGATCCTTGAGGTGTTTTATTACTGTTTCATTTTAGTTTTGCACTGCTTCTGTTTGAGGTGGTAAACATTGGATTGTCCAAAAAAAAAAAGGTAAGAAAGCATTTAATGCAGATTAAATTTCCACCCTTTCTGAGATTTAACAGGACTCAATACTTATTTCTTATTTGTCTTTCACCTATAAAAATAGGATAGCTGATATATTTGCCATGGTTACAGGCTATTATTTGAATGGCATGGAAATTGTCTGCAAAAGTGTTTTTTCCTCATGTGTACTCAAAACAAGGAGAAATTAATATCAGAGCATTTCAGCCTCCCAGGACATCCCATGGCAGGCTTCAGTGACCTTTTTAGGAAAACTCTATAAACACAATTGAGAGAGATTGCTAAAATGACATATATCAAAAGGTTTCAGGCAATCTGAGAGGCTCTCAACAACAGGATGGTTTTCTGTCATCTCACAGTTGCTAGCTGATAAAGTTCTTTTAATCTGTCTCATGTTTCAACTGTATTTGCATAGACAATCTGTCTTCTCCTCCCCTCCCCCATCTGACCCCATTTAAATCCTACACCATTCTAGCCAGTCTGCAAGATTGGAAGGAATTTTTTTTTAAAAATGTAACTAGATTAAAAAAAGTCTCCTGGCAGACGGAAGAAGAGGGTCAACCTTTGTTTCAAAATCCTAATTTGAAATTGCATCAACTTTTGAAAAGGAGGAGAAACTGAAACAATATCATAGCAACTTTTCAGATATACAGGAACCGGTGTTAGAAAGGTAACAATCATGAGTCTAAGTTATATACTTGGGCTGATAGCTAAGGCAGATAAACAGTAAGTATATATGATCTTGAAACTTTTCTCATTCTAAATTGATTCTAGAGTTCAGATTTAGGCATTTGCTGCCGTTCCTCAATGCCAAGGTCACATAGAAGGTGTTAATATCACCAGATGTTTTATTCCTTTTGTTTTAATTTGGATTAAAACTTAGATCCTTCAGGATTGTGTTTTTATATTCTGTCCTGTTGTATAAGACTTCCAAAACCGTATCCGTATCTTGTTATTTTTAGGGAATGGCAATGCTCTGTGAAACAATAGAAGAGTGTTGGGATCATGATGCAGAAGCTTGATTATCAGCAGGCTGCATAGAGGAAAGGTTTATCCAAATGAAAAGACTAACAAACATCATAACAACAGAAGACATTGTGACTGTGGTCACCATGGTGACAAATGTGGATTTTCCTCCCAAAGAATCTAGTCTATGATAGTAGCAGCGGTCACTCTTCTTGACCAATAAGACTCAGCACTGGAACTGCCAAGTCAACTGGCCTATTTCTGGTCAGTAATTTTCAGCATGAAATAATGGTAAGTCCGTCTCTGAAGTGTCAGTTGGAAGATTCCTCTTTGTTCTTCTCCAGACTTGGATCCAGAAGACGTACTGCATATGCCGGAGAAAATGGCAAGATAATGTTAAACGTACCTGAAGAACATGGACCTATCTCGGCTTATCAGACATTTAAAAAACTGACATTGTATTTCTTAACATGTCAGACTAATTCCTTAAAATGAACTACAGCTATTTTTTTTAAAATCAGACATTTCATTTCAGATTTAAGAAAAAGGGTAACTTGTTTTTATTGCATTTGCTGTTGTGTTTATATAAATGACTATTGTAATGCCAATATGACACAGCTTGTGAATGTTTAGTGTGCTGCTGTTCTATGTAATCAAAGTGGGATCTAGCAAAAAGGCTTCCAAGCATTACTTAACCTCCCTCAACAAGGTATACCTCAGTTCCACCTATGCTAAATTGAATTGACAACACTAATAAAACTGAAATAATAAATTGATCCAGATTTTGTAAATGATGCATTAAAAAAAATCCATGGTGTATTTTTTAAAGGTTATAA